AAAGAATTATGTACTCATTTTCCTTCACTCAATTTTTTTCTTCTGAGGTTTTTTCCTAGTATTGTTTTAACAAAGCATATTCTTAATGCAATAGACATTTAATATGAAGTATTATGAATATATGAGTAAATTTTCATTATGTCATGGTCCAATATTTTAGACTAGGCTTGGCAGCCTAAATAAGCCAAACAACTTAACAGGCCAAATACAAAAGTGTAATCTAATTTAAATTCTTATATTTCATTATGTATATCTAGATTTAGATTATATTGGATTAAGATTTAATACATCCAAAGCAAATATCTTAGCATTATTTTTATCTTATAAATTCTATCTAGATAAGGGTTTATTAGTCTATAAATAAATTCCTCACTTCATTTATAAATATACACTCTCGAAAAATATTTTCTAACTTTATTAATACTTTTTTTCTTATAGTTGTTCTTTCAATTTAGATTTCATAACAAATATCAATTAATAAAAAAATTATTAATTAGTTTTTAAATAAACACTTAATATCTTGTATAAAATAATGTGCTACTGAAAAGAATTATATACTATTTTCTTTCACTCGGGTTTTTTCTTATGAGATTTTTTTCTAATAAGGTTTTAACAAGGTTTATTCTTAATACAATAGATATTAAAATGGAGTGTTATGAATATATGAATGAATTTCCATTATGTCACGGGCCCAGATTTTAAACTAGGCTAAGCTACCTAAATTGGCCAAACAGTCTAACAGGCTAGACACAAGAGTGTAGTTTGATTTAAATTCTTATATTTGATTATGTATATCTAAATATAGATGTAGATTATATTGGATTAAGGTTATGATTTAATGCATTCAAATTAAATCCTTTAATATTATCTTTATCTTATAAATTCTATCTATATAAGGGTTTATTAGCTTATAAATAGGTCTCTCATTTTATTTGTAAATACACACTCTCGAATAAAATCTTTTTACTTGTTTTTCTTATAATTGTTCTTTCAAGTTAGATTTCATAACAAATATCAACTAATAAAAAATTATTAATTATTTTTTAAATAAATTGTTATTATCTTGTATAAAATAATGTATTCTTGAAAAGAATTATATACTCTTTTCCTTTCATTCAGGTTTTTTCTTATTAAGGTTTCCTACTAAGGTTTTAACATAGCATATTCTTAATGCAATAGACATTTAAGGTTAAGTGTTATGAATATACGAGTGAATTTCCATTATATCACGACCCAAGGTTATATATCAAGTTAGGCAGCCTAAATAGGCCAAACAACCTAATAGGCCTAACATAAGAGTGTAATATGAGTTAAATTCTTATATTTGATTTTGTATATCTGGATTTAGATTTAGATTTAGATTAGATTGGATCAAGATTAAGACTTAATGCATCCAAATCAACCCCATAGCATACAAGGTTAATACCTTGTATAAAATAATGTACTCTTGAAAAAAATTTTATACTCTTTTTCCTTCATTTGGATTGTTTCTGATGAAGTTTTTTTTAAGTAAGATTTTAATAAGGCATATTCTTAATACAACGAACATTTAAGGTGGAGTGTAATGAATAAATGAGTGACTTTCCATTATATCACGACCCAAGATTTTAGACCAGGCTAGCCATCCTAAATAGGCCAAATAGCCTAGCAAACCAGACACAAGAGGTCCTTCATTTAATTTGTAGATATACACTCTCGAATAAGATCTTTTTATTCTATTAATACGTTTTTCATATAATTGTTCTTTTAAGTTATATTGTAGAACAAATATCAATTAATAAAAGGTTATTAATTTTTTTAAATAAATTGTTAATATCTTGTATCAAATAATGTATTCTTGAAAAGAATTGTGTATTATTTTCCCTTCAATTAGGTTTTGTTTTAGGAGGTTTTTTTCTTAGTAAGCTTTTAATGAGGCATATTCTTAATATAATGGACATTTAAGGTGGACTGTTATGAATATATGAGTGAGTTTTCATTATGTCATGGCCCAAGATTTTAGATCAGGCTAGGCAGCCTAAATAGGCGAAATAGCCTAACAGGCTTGACACAAAAGTGTAATCTGAGTTAAATTCTTATATTTGATTATATATCTAGATTTAGATGTAGATTAGATTGGATTAAGATTAAGATTCAATGCATCCAAATCAACCCCTTAGCATTATCTTTATCTTATAAATTCTATCTAGATAAGAGTTTATTAGCTTATAAATAAGCTTTTAACTTTATTTGTAAATACACACTCTCGAATAAGATTTTTTTACTCTATTAATATTTTTTATTATATTTGTTCTTTCAAGTTATATTTCATAACAAATATCAATTAATAAAAGGTTATTAATTATTTTTTAAATAAATTGTTAATATCTTGTGTAAAATAATGTACTTTTAAAAAGAATTATGTACTTTTTTTCCTTGAATCGATTTTTTTCTTATGAGGTTTTTTTCCTAGTAAGATTTTAATGAGATATATTTTTAATATAATGGACATTTAAGGTACAGTGTTATGAATATATGAGTGAATTTCCATTATGTCAATGCCTAAGATTTTAGATCCGGCTAGGTAGCTTAAATAAGCCAAACAGGCTAACAAGCCTGCCACAAGAGTGTAATCTGAGTTAAATTCTTATATTTGATTATGTATATCGAGATTTAGATGCAGATTATATTGGATTAAGATTTAATGTATCCAAATCAACCCCTTAGTATTATCTTTATCTTATAAATTTTATTAAGATAAGAGTTTATTAGTCTATAAATAGATCCCTCACTTCATTTATAAATGCATACTCTCGAATAAAATCTTCTTACTCTATTAATACTTTTTTCTTATATTTGTTCTTTAAAGTTATATTTCATAACAAATATCAATTAATAAAAAAATATTAATTATTTTTAAATAAATTGTTAATACCTTGTATAAAATAATGTACTCTTAAAAAAAATTTATACTCTTTTTCCTTCATTTGGATTGTTTCTGATGAAGTTTTTTTCTAGTAAGGTTTTAATAAGACATACTCTTAATACAGTGAACATTAAAGGTAGAGTGTAATGAATAAATAAGTGAATTTTCATTATATCACGACCCAAGATTTTAGACTAGGCTAGCCATCCTAAATAGGCCAAATAGCCTAACAAACCAGACACGAGAGTGTAATTTGAGTTAAATTCTTATATTTGATTATACATATCTAGATTTAGATGTAGATTAGATTGGATCAAGATTAAGATTTAATGCATCCAAATCAACCATTTAGCATTATCTTATAAATTCTATCTAGATAAGGATTTAGTAGCCTATAAATAGATCTCTCACTTCATTTGTAAATGCACACTCTCAAATAAGATTTTTTTACTCTATTAATACTTTTTTCTTATAGTTGTTCTTTCAAGTTATATTTCATAAAAAAATCAATTAATACAAAATTACTAATTATTTTTTAATAAATTGTTAATATCTTGTATAAAATAATATACTCTCGAAAAAAATTATGTACTCTTTTTTTTTCACTCGTGTTTTTTCTTATGAGGTTTTTTTTCTAGTAAGGTTTCAACGAGGCATATTTTTAATAAAATGGACATTTAAGATGAAGTGTTTTGAATATAACAATGAATTTCTATTATGTCATGCCTCAAGATTTTAGATTAGGCTAGTCAACCTAATGGGCCTGACACAAGAGTGTAATCTAATTTAAATTCTTGTATTTGATTATGTACATCTAGATTTAGATATAGATTAGATTAAGATTAAAATTTAATCTATCCAAATCAAATCCCATAGCGCTATCTTTATCTTATGAATTCTATTTGAATAAGGGTTTATTAGTCTAAAATAGGTCTTTAATTTCATTTGTAAATATACATTTTTGAATAAGATCTTCTTACTCTATTAATACTTTTTTCTTATAGTTGTTCTTTAAAATTATATTTCAAAACAAATATCAATTAATAAAAAATTATTAATTATTTTTAAATAAATTATTAATATCTTGTATAAAAAATTTTAAATTAATAAATAACATAAAAGTTACTTTTTTTAATTTTTTTATATGGTCTAATGACTTGTTTTTAAAATGCTTCATTATGATATTTGAAAATCAAAATTGAAGGTGCGTAACCAATTTGCGATATGTGTCCTTGAATAACTTAATTAAAGGTGACAAAATTTCACAACTGTCTCACACAATTCAAATCGATTTAACTTTAAAAATCAACTTGTATCTAAACAATATAAATCCAAAATGACCAAAACTCGAATTGATCTAAATTCAAATTACTAAAATTTTATTTTTTCCAAAATAACTTAACCTAAAGTGACCTAAACCCAAACCCAAACCCATCCATTTTGACCCAATAGTTAATGTTGTTAAATCGAAAAGTAACGAAAATAAACAAAGGATAATTAAGTGTGAAATTTTGCATCTTATAGACAAATTATTCTACCTCAAATCATAAAGTATTTTTCTATAATTTACCTTTTTAAATTTTTTTGTTTGTATGTACGTGTATGTTTTATTGTAACTTTTTGATAATTATATTATAAATTTTTCATTAGTACAATTTCTCAAAAATTTCTCTTCTATGAAGTATTGTTTTTGTTTGGACATAAAATATAATCACTAACAATTCATCACAGACCAAATGTCCAATTTTGAATGTTAATTGAATAGTAGACAACTAGATATTGTTTAAAAGTGCATAAATTACCATTTATGGAAAGTACATTTTTATTTTACTGGGTCAATTTAATTCATAAGCTCAATATTTAGAAAATATATATAGTAAATCATGATATTTAAAATTAATTGATATAATATTGATTTAGTTCCAAAATTTAATTATTTTTGGTATTGATGAGGAATGATGAAGATGTCAGTCTTGACCTCAAATAGTTTAATAAATCTAATTGATCAATGAATTGGTATGGCTTTAATGCTTGAAATCATTATAAGAAACCATGAAGTTTTATTTTCTAGGAAGCATTAAGCTTGAATAAGTAATGGCTAACAAGTAGAAGAAATATAGAACATCAACTCATCACATAGAGAATTGCACAAAAACTGTAATCATAAAGCATATTTGTAGTTTGTTTATGTATCATACAATTAACTTATTATTACAACATTAATGACAACATCAAACACAGCTAAGCAACATTGATTGCAATTGCAGGCCATGATTGGAAGCCTAAAGTCTACTAGTGATGTTAATGTTTCGCAATTTGGATGTCTTGGGAGTGGCATCTTTTGGGACAACAATGGTGAGCACACCATTTTCGACTTGGGCCTTGATCTGCTCGACCTTCACATTCTCTGGCAATTCAATATCCCGAGAGAAATCACCTTTCCCTGTCCCTCTCTCGGCTACATGCCAGACAGTGTCTTTTGCATGGCTCTCCTCTTTAACACCCTCTCCTTTGATATGCAAAACATTTCCATCTTCTACCTGCACTTTTATGTCCTCTTTGTTGTATCCTGTTCACAGTAAAACTTTGATGGGGAAAATCACTCAACCTACACAAATATAATTTGCTTGAGATTAAAGAGAGGAAGTGTGGTTGGAACCTGGGACGTTGATCTTGAAGACGTGAGCACTTGGCGATTCAAGCCAATCCATCAGAGCGGTAGATCCAGACCATTCACGGAACACTGGAGGGCTCCAGAAAAGGCGCCTTAAAGGGTACCCGAATAGACCATCGGCCATGGCTTTTGTGTGTCTCAACTCTATGATCAGCTGGAATGCGTAGAGCAAATGGACAGCAAGGAAGGGTTGAGCTAAGAAGGGTGTCGAAGGGTGTAGAATATCCAGAATGTTCTTGAGCGTCTCCTTTATGGCATTATTGCTAGAATGATCGGGGGATACCAACGGGGTGGGTTTTGCGGCCCGCAGGAAATTAATAAAAAAATTATTTATTATTTAATAAAATTACATCGTCATTTTATTTTTTGTTTTTAGATATTATAATTGGACAAGTGAATGAAAATCGTTAATGATGAGATTTTTCATAAAAAAAAATTTATGAGAACGAATTTTATTTTTTAAAGATTTTGAAATGAGAAAATATTTTTAAAATTTTATATCAGAAAAAATTATAAAAAATTCAATTAATATTTATTATAATGAACAAATCTTAAGTCAAGAAATAAAGAGATAATTAAACGGAAAATAAATAACAAAAAAACAATGTTAACGGGCAAATGGTGTTGTTCTCCCATTCTTGTCTTCTTCCTCTTTGTCTTTTTTTTTTAAAAAAAAATTTTCTTTCTTTATGCCCTTCTTGTTAGATTTTTTTATAAAATTAAAATGTAGATTTACATTTTTTATTTTTATATGTTATCAAAATTTGAATGTAATAATTTAGTCTTGATAAAAAAAATATTATAATTCATATATGATTTAGTAAAGTAGATTAAACTCTAATGCTATATGTGGCCTTAAAAGCATAAGTCTATGTAAAAAATCTTAAATCCTATCATGGGACTATGTGAAATGATAACACTAGATCTCCTTTCCTATCCACAATAATATTAAGATTCCACTCATTGAAGGGTTACAAAAAAATAGGGACAAAGATCTTAATTTACTAAATTCTAACAATTTATTTGATTAAATATTATTTTCATTGTAAAATTATATACATTTTTTATTCTAAATTCATAATAAATCTTGAATTAATATAAATTATTATATATAAAATCTATAACCTCTCTCTCATTCTCTTTCTTTCTTTCTCCTTGTTCAAAATGGAAAAAACATGTGGACTTGAAAAGGGTAAAAATGGTCATGTCATGTGTCAAAAGGAGATTGGGCACATTGGCCACCAAAGGCCCATTTGGGTTAGCTTTTATATATATAAAAAAAAGGCAAGTATAGGTATAGAGATTTGATGAGGCCCATCAAGGACATAGGAGGAGATGGATGGAAGAAATGATTAGGTGGGTAAAATATATTGTCAAGTCTAAATAAATTTTTTTAGCACAACTCATTATTAACTAATAATAAAATTTATCTCATCTTATAAACAAGAAAATATCTTTAATTCCATTGAGTCACTTTTCTTTAAAAAAAATTTATTTCAAACGTAATATTAATCGATAATAAAGTTTTCAAATTTTACAAATGAAATTAAAATATTATCAAATGTTCATTTAATCATTTTAAAAATTTATTAATTTCTTCAAATGTATCCTAATAAGACATGAATGTAGCAACTCTTTAATCTCAAAAGACAACAATGCTTGCTAAGACATTATAAGTTATAATAAATCGATCAACTTGTATTGTTTTTTTTTTCTTTAATATGGTAAGTGTAATTATAACCTTAATTTTGCAACTAAACATGAATATCTGCAATGTTACTGAATGATTAAAAGAGGAAACTCATCATTTGCACCTTTACAAAAAGAATATAAAATGCCATTTCTTTTCTCACATTAAGACAACCCAACTTTGTTTAAGTGGAATCTTGGCCTCTTTTCTCGGTCCCTTTTAAACTTTGTATTGAGTGCATGCCCCCCCATCCCACGTCTTGCCATCTTTCCTTCGCTCTCCTTTTGGAGAGTAATAATTCAATAAGTTTATAGGAATAAAGTAGAGAAAAACCCAACAAAAAGAAGGCGCAAAGGTAGAAGAAAGTGGAATATCATGGAGGAAAAAGGGAAGCAAATGAATCGACCAAAAGCAAAATGGCCATGAGCCTTGAGATCCATGCCATCACCTTCTGATAAAGTTGGATATGTTATTTACCTGCATTCCCAAATAATTCCAATCCAAAGAATCATGTTAGTATATCTCTCTAAATCTATAATATTAAATAAATAAATCATATTCCACACGTATTCTAACATTTGATTTATTGATAAATGTATAATTTTTTACTTAAAAATCAAACTTTAAATTCTATTTTTCTCAATTTTTTTTTTGAAAAATCATACCCCACACCTTCCAAATAAAAAATTTGAGTAATGGAAAACCCAAAGTCATCAAGGCAAAAGAAGGAGCAATCAACATTTTATTATGCTTACCATTTCTGTCCAACACTTTTCTTAGGAAAGCAAGAAATATGATGAGAAGAGCGATCCCAGCCAATAATCCAATGATAATTGCGAATGTCTTCTCACCGTCGTTGCTAGATTTATCTGCAATGCCAATCAAACATAAGAAATTCGGGAATTGACCATGGGATGTCAATCATGGTTACATGAGAATTAATTGTGTGCATATTATTGTTAATTAGTAATAGATAAAGCTTTAACACTATGAATTAGGCCCATTTGTGAGGCAATTTGTAGAATGATATATGGTTTGGTTAAGCCTGTTCTCGCTTATCTGAGTTTGGGGATCTAATTACCATTGTGGGGTTTAGCATAGGAGTGAACCCCAGCACCGGCAGTGGAGAACCTAGCATAGCACTTGCCTAAGAACATGTCACCGTAAGCAGCGGCTCCGCATTCGCTTTTCAGCCGTCCGATTGCATCTGACAAACAATCCTGGCATTCTCCGACGCTGAGGTCCCCTACACATTGGCGCAAAACCCTGGACTTCCCCTGACCCACCCACCCTGAATGGTCCACCAGTGCTCATCAGTCCAGCCATCACTGCGTCTCTGCGCCCCACAATCTCCGCCTCCTTCTCGTACTCCACCGACGGCCCGCACTTTTGAGCACCACGTTTCTTCCTCAACTCCCAGGAACGTGGCGTTATCGTACTTGACGAAGCAGCCTTGGAGCTGCACCGCTGTGCGCACATGTGGTTGGGCATATGGAACCGGTTTGACTCACTGCGCGGGCAACGCAGGTGGCGCAGTCCGGCATCGACAGGTCTCCTCGACACTGGTAAAGCCCGTACACGACGTCCTGTGGACTTGAGCCCATGATGGTGTAGTTGTTGTAGGAGGAGTAAGTGGCAGAGTTAAGGAGGAGAGAGTGGAGGAAGGGAATCGAGGTTTGGATCTGGGCAGGTGAAGTGGGGTGTGTATTTCTGCTGGGTGCAGCCTCCAAACACAAATGAATCTGTATCTGAGGATAAAGCAAGCGTTCGGAGGGAGAGAGAGGAGAAAGAGATAAGGAAAATGGTGAAGGAGAGGGAGAGCAGAGAGCTTGCCATTCTGGCCATGAAGCTCAGGGGAAAGAGAAGGATAGATAGGGGTCCAAGGGGAGTGCATTGAGCCATACTTAAAGCCATGCTTAGAGACTAGACTAGGCTAGAGAGGCTTTCTTGGATTAACCAACCCACTACTCAGAACATTGCCATCTCAGCTTCGATAAACAGCAGTCTAACCTTTATTTATTTTAATTTCCAAAAGGTTAATTTCAGACAGCAGTTTTCTCTTTGTTGTCAACAGTATCTATCCTATTCCTAATTCCCTTCACTCCCAAGTCCCAACCCAAAAAACACCTAAAACAATTACTACTTTTTTTCCTATACTTTTCTTACTTTCGATAAAAAAAAATTATTCTTTTCATCCCATAAATAGGGTATTAATTTTATTTTTGAATTTTTTAAAAATTATGATCCTAATTATTATAAATATTTTATTAAATTATTATAAATACTTGTTATGTTTATATCAAATAATACTGATGTGATATGTTATGTGACATAATGATATAATCACGTAATATTTTCATTCTCGATTTCAATACCATATGTTATATAAAAAATAAATAATATTTTAATTAATCAATTTGTAATACATATTTTTATCAAAAATAAAAATAAAAACTCAAATAAATGTAATAAAAAATAAAATTTTTTAAATAATTTAAGAACTTTTTACAACATTATACCATTAAATTTTAATAAATGAATGTTTGAGGACAAATATATTCATCTTTATAAAATATTTTTCTAATCTTAATTAACCATGATTTATAAATAAATAACAATCAAATTTTTTTAAAAAATTGGTTGAAAATACATTAAATTCAGACAATAATTAAAGGGTATCCAGGGAGTTAAAGAAAGAATGGTTCCTTCTCTATTTATTTACTCTGTCTCAGTGCACTCTTGGACTGAGTGATATAATGCAATGTACCTTCCTAGTATGATATTCATAAGTCAAAGCATGCATATGATACTTCATATTTTAAATGGAAAGGGATCTCGTTTTAATAAGAGCCTCAGCTTTACAAGCAACAACACTGTACTCACCTTTTTTTCCTTTTAACTCTTTCTTTTAAAGTGAAAGAAACGTTATTGCTTTTGCTTTTACCAAACTCTAATTATTGAGAACATTTAAATAGATTTTTATCTTTTATTTTTTTTAATTAAATTTTTATATTTTAAATTTAAGTTTAATAAATTATTACAAATAATCATTATCAATTAAAATATTATTTATTATTTTTATATTCATGTGACACTAATATATAAAGTGAAAATATCATCTAATCACTTCATCATCTTATATTGTTATTTATTTTGATTATCGATAATTAATTAATTAATTAATTATTATTATAATTTATTTAATTTAAAATAAAAAGTAAAAAGTTATTTAAAAATTTTAAAATAATTCAAAGACTTGCTACTGCTTTTGCTTAACTAATTAACCTAGTTGGCCTTTTGCTTTAGACGAATTGCTTTCACCAACCCCGGATTCAAGAAGGAAAAGAATAAGCCAAATGATTGAGCCCTATCTCATGTGTAACTCGGAAGAGTGGATATCAGTGACGATGGAAATCCATAAATAAATAAGAAAATTTATTCTCTTCTTGTCAGTTTTGCTGTTTCCAACTTAGTAAAAAGCCCTCATGAGAAAAAGCTCTGGTGCCCCTTCTCTGTATTTTAGATTTTGCAACCCAAGGCTTTTTCCATAATGCATCAAGCTTTTTCGAGTGAAGACACACAAACAACTGTACGCATCAAAGTAACTCATTGCTCTACGATTTAACTTTGGTCTGGCTTTCATAGAAAAGAAGACAAACATAAAAGGAAATTCCTTAGGCAGAAAGGAACGGCTGAGAAACTTTTAATAAATGGAACGGGTTACATGAATCCAAACTCATTACCACATATATTTAATTAGGAGATGTACGATACAAATAGGTACATGTATTTGTGAAAACTAATGTTCAAATTATGTAATTAATTTTTGTATTTTATCAAAATTGTAGATTTAATTTTAAATAATCATATGTAAATATTGAGTTTTTAAATTTTTTAAAATTAATAATATCAATTTAATTATTAACAATATTAAAATATTTTTGTTGTTTATATTAATATGATATTTGACCATTGAGATTCATTTCGTAATTTCCTTCATAGTTGGATAATAATTATTAGACTTAGTTTATAAAAAGAATCAAGTTTCTTATCTTCGAATTCTTAATCATTACCAAAAACTAATATTTGTTATATATGAATTGTAAAATGTCATGTTAGCAACATAATTGTGTCACATCAAATTATATCATTATTTAAAATTTATATTTTTATTTAATTAATATCACATCAATATAATCATTATATTATTTTTATATATCATATTATATTATCGTAATTAAAGCACTTCAATAAGAATATATCACATTAATACAATTATTATATTAACAAAAAAAATTTTAACATTATTGAAATGATATTATTAATTTTAAAAAAATATAACACCAATTTGATAGAACATAAAAGTTAATTATATAATTTGATGAAAATTCATTAAGTGAGAATTTGGAGTCCTCTTTAGTGATTGTCATCATTGTGTGGTAGCCCTGATGCTTTGGGGCATATAGGACGAGACGTGTGATTGCTTTAGCATCTAACAGTGAGGTGCAAGCGATCCATTGGCTCTTAGTAAGTCGAACAAAATAATTAGTTTTGATATCGGTAATCTAATTAATGGATCAAAAGTTATCAATTAACTTAAATTTAACGTTTTGGGGGAATTCAAAAGGTGATTAAAGACACAGAAGTAAGCAATGGATGTGTGTATTCCCAGACTCAAAAAGGTAGGCGTCCCACAACAGTGATATGACTTGGGATCGGCCTACATCAACAATAGGGACCAATCCCAGGCGATGAAAGGCATGTAAATCAATTACCTGCTATTTTAACGCAAAGAGTACCAAATACATACTATTTCCATCTTCTTTTGGTGTTTGTTCTTATGCTTCATACTAGACAGTATTGCCCTCGAGATGAAGCAGAAGTGAATTGGAATACCACAGAGGAAAACAAATAACTCCTACACCAGCTTCATTGGAAAATTTAACGGTCCAAAGGTGGTCGGGGCTGCCTTTGGACAGTAATACCAGTTAGTGCAAAACGAAAAGGGGAAAAAAGAAGTGGGGCATTGTGAATTTAATGCCCCAATTTCTTGCTTCCACTCTCCAACAAGACATGGTTGTGAATGTTAAGGCAAGAGGGCAGCAGGAAGGGATGAAAAGCATGTTGAAGGAAGGAAGAGGGAAAGAGATGGAAGGGAGGAAATGTCACATTCAAAAATGTCGTTTAAGATTAATGGCAGTTTGTCTTGGTCTCGCCGTCCCATCACTGGACTTGTGGTGCTCACAGTAGTTGACCGACCGGAGGCCCTTGTCATTTTCCTTCCAAGACAGGATAAGATGTTGTAATTCCGTCTTCATCACCATCTCCCCCTCCATCTTTATCACCTCATTTGCCCAAATTTAAATTGACCTGGGAAGAAGGTACTATATTAAGCTATAATGACTTACATAAATACATTTCATATGTGTACATATTTTGATTTAAACATATTTATTTGAGGAAATGCCTTTTGCTTTCATCTATCTGTAGATATTTGTTTTTGAAAATTATGCAATTGTTATTGTTCATAGTCAAAGAAAAAACTTTGGATTTATATTGTTACAATGCAAGAGAAAAAGCAAGGAATAAAAAGGAGAAAAACCCTTTTAAGTGCAAGAAGGCTTAGATGTAGGGATGTCTAAGCTCAATATGAGGCCGATACAGAAAATGCCTAAATCCAAAATAATCAAAGCACATTCGCCGCTGACATTCAGAACCAAAGGCAATTTGTTTGGACTAGGTGCACCTTGTCCAAATCAAGACACATTCACACTGCCACTAAATTCTCATTCTAGCCTGTCCAAACATAGACAAAAATTAACCGCTACACAGCCACTTTCCCACGCGCTAATATCCGGACCTTTAAGATCATGATCTCCAGGAAGCAGCCAACAGGCGCCTCATATATGCAAATTAGAATTTTGAATAACCCTAAACCACCTCTAGATAAGCATTCAATTTAATTTAGTGAGAGTTCTAAATTAAATAATAAGAGATATCCAAAGCAGACATTCAACACAACCAAACTAATCCCCAAAGACTTGCAAAAAATCATTAACTCTACTAACACCCTCCTTAGCCAATTTATCAACTTCAGAATTTCCTCATGTTTAATACAAGTAATTCTCTATTGAGGAATTTCTTTCTGCAAGTTAGCAATTTGAATCAAAAGCTGCCTAAATCTCCATGGACCTTCATTTGGTTTAATTACCCAATTAATAGCATTATGCAAATCAATCTCAATCCAAAGTTGAGCCAAACTCGAATCCCTTACACCAATCGATCTTGAAAACTTTAAAATTATTCTACTCGTATGATCCCTCAATAAACCACCAATCCCGGACTTCCTTGCGCTGAGCCATCGGATTCCAAGATAACCCCATAGCTCTCCTTTCATAGAATCCTTCACTTGCTTAGGAATTGAGATCGAATAAGGCCATCTAAAAATATTTTCAATATCATCTACTAACTCTGACAATTTGGCTTTACTCGACAATGCAACGGGCAACTTAATTAAGTCATATTGCTAATCTTCATCCCATATTGTATTATTGAAAACAATATCATTTCGAAACAACCATAGGGATCATGTGGTTACTTAGAAAGCCAAGATCCAAAATTTCACTTTGTCACCATTAATGCATAAATAATTTCACGCCAAGGAAGAAAATCTTGGACTTTTATGAATCACCCAATTAATTCTCCACTTAATGCACCATCTCCATAAATCTTCCATACCTTATCACAAGTGAAAGATAGATGTTACACTATTTCCATTTGTTACATATTACACACATGGCTTGATTTTCCACAATAAATTGCGTTTTACTAATTCAGCTTTAACTGCGATGCATTTCCATAGTAATTGCCAAACAAAAATGTACAAAAATTTCCACCCTATATGAAGTATACCCAAGCCATAATTTCTTCCACAAATCTTTTCTTTCATAATGAATATTGCGCATTAACTTGCGG